ATTTATATATAATTATATCATAAATATATATAAATAGTACAATAATACTATAGTATAATAATGCTATAATAGTATAATAATACTGTTGATAATTTTTTTCAGAGCGAAGTACGTATGTACTTTACAATATAATGAACGCACGAATAAAGAATGTATACGCTGCGTTTCCTATTAAGGGATCATCTGAGAAATTGAAAATCGTTTTGCAACAATGAGCTGGCAGTACGCTGGTGAAATCGTAGTATTTTTAAAGAACTGTTTTCCTTCTCTCTCGATAACGTTCCGATGAGTAAACGTTCCACCGAGCCATGCACAGGTCACGCGACTTTCATGGAAAATATACAAACCGTGTGCGTAAAAACCGTACGATCGCGATCGTCTGGAACAATATCATCGTTTGATTTGTTTAAGTAACGCGGAAATCGAACGCGAGTTTCGCATAATTTACGACGTTATTTTCGGCCTCTCGTGAGTCACCCGGTGTAACAAAAACCTGATCCGACGAGAGAAACGTAGTTTGGAAATTTCGGATAACACGATGGATGTTTAGCTCATGCATAGCTAATTAATGTTACAATTCTTAATGTAATAATGTTTATTTACTTATTGATCTTTATTCAGAACACTTTACAAAAATATGAGAAACATGAAAGTATCTTCCAAGCACTTTACTGCACTGAAACGATCAAATGGATTAAAAGATGTATAATTAATACATATAACTTGTTACGAATCTGATGAAATATCTTTATTAGATTATTTATTAGACAGCACACCCTACTGCATAAATTTTATTCGCGAAATTACTTCTCGTCGTGAGGCAAAAAAGGCTGCATTTGTAGATTTCATCTATACGAATTGTAAGTAAAAGCTACTTACAACACTAATTTATATAATTTGTATAAAGTAATTGATGATCAACGAGATTTTGGAGGTCAATAAGAGAATATCCTTGATCAGAAGATCAGAGTCATTAGCAGTGAATTCCTTGAACAACTGGTTGAGTTTATAATTAATTAACGACACTGTGTACATATATATTGTACATGTATACGTATACATTATAATAAAATTTATCAGCGAACGTTTGTAGTTTTTAACATTCTTCTTTTGCAAAAAAAAAATAATTTGCAATCTAAAGTCTTGTTACTGACATTCTGAGAAAGTGAATGATTTAAAAGAAGAAAAGAATTTTAAGAAGCGTAAGGATTCATTTGTGTTTAACTTCTGCTGTAAGATCAAAAGAAGAATCTACTTGCCTGAGAACAAAGAAACTCGTGCCAGTCGTGAGGCCCAGGACTAAATAGAAGGAGTTTTCCGCCATTAGAGCGCACTCACACTTTTAATAGCCCTTAATAGAGACTTTAGATTATCACGTGCAAGAATGTGGAACATACTTCGACACAGGAATTTCCTAAGCACACTCTTCGTTCTATCATCGACGCTTCTGTTTTATGTTTCTGCCTTATGGCCACCGCGATAACACGATTATTATCGATGTCTCACGTTCGAAGTATGCATACTCGGTCTTCCTGGTTCCCTGGCCTATTTGCTCTCCAACATGGATTTCGATCTCGGAAGGAATTGTGCGTAGTTATCAGATTCGAAACTTGACTCAAGTCCTTTCTATATATTATTTCTAAATATTCTGAAACAGCGGAGAACAAAGCAAAGTACCTGAAAATGTTCTAAGATATTTTCATCGTTAAAATAATTTTGATTTCACGATGTAGTTCGAAGAGAAATTTCAAGTCACGTATATAAAAATTGTCGCTTTTGACTGATAAATTTACATAAACACCAATAGAATCAATCTTGACGGAAGTTGAAAATCTGGCAATGGAAAAATTCGTTTAGTAGAAGCAAAGTGGTAGAAAATTTAGGGGAAGTATGACGAATTAGGAACATAGCTGTTTACGTTCGCCTTTCTAAGGAATTCTACGAGCATTTAATAGCAGCCATTAGTCCCCTAGATCGATGATGTATTTCTGTGGACACGGTTAAGCGAGTTATTCGAGAACGAGAAAGTGAAATGGCCGTAAAATCTAAAGTAGCATCAACGCGTCCAGGCCTTTTGGCGTTTTATAATTGGCAGTGGACAAGTTTTTTTTTTTTTAAATTTACACTATATATTTTTTTTAAATGAAATTCATTCAACACTGATTGTACACGTACAATGTGGTATTTAATAACATCGCATATGATAACACGCTGTACGTGGTAGAACAAAACGCTGTGCATCACGAGACAGCGAACGTGTTGAGATTACTTGTATGAAATTATTAATATAAAAGTTATTGCAACACCTACGGTATTTAATAAAATAAATGCCCATAACGATTTT